TTGAAACAACATATGTGGAAAGGACTAGCAAGAATGATACTGCTGACTTGTGGCATGCACATCTTGGGCATGTTAGCTATCTTAGATTGTAGGTGATGATGAATAAATCTATGGTGAAAGGCCTACCCAAGCTGGAGGTGCGCAAAGATGCTATTTGTGTTGGTTGTCAATATGGGAAAGCACATCAACTTCCATATCAGGAGTCCAAGTTCAAGGCCAAGGAACCATTGCAGCTAATACACTCGGATGTCTTTGGTAAAGTCAAACAATCATCAATTGGTGGAGCACATTACATGGTGACATTTATTGATGACTACTCGAGGTATGTATGGGTGTACTTCATGAAGGAAAAATCAGAAACTTTAGAAATGTTTAAAAGGTTTAAAAAGGAAGTTGAGCAAACAGTTGGCAAGAAAATTCAGTGCCTTCGAACAGACAATCGAGGAGAGTATACATTAAAGGAATTTTTAGATTATCTGCAAGATAATCTTATTCGACAATAGCTAACTTGTCCATATACCCCTCAACAAAATGGAGTAGATGAACGGAAGAATAGACACCTTACAGAAACCTGTCAAAGCATGTTGCATGCTAAAAATGTGCCACCTAGATTTTGGGCCGAGTGCATGAAGACTGCAGCCCATGTGATTAACAAGCTTCCTCAAGCTACTTTGGGATTTATATCATCTTTTGATAAGCTATGGAACATTAAGCCAATGATGAGCCATTTTCAAGTCTTTGGCTCAATGTGTTATGTGTTTGTTCTAGAAACTCAAAGGACCAAGTTTGATAAGAAAGCAATCAGATGCATTTTCCTTGGCTATGATGACCAAAGGAAATGATGGAGGTGCTGTGACCCAAATACTGGGCGTTGTTGTGTTTCTAAAAATGTTGTGTTTGATGAAGCATCTTCTTGGTGGTCTCCACAAGAGGTAGTGTTGCCAAATTCCAAGGAGTTGGAAGAAAAGGTATAGGAAAAGCTTGGAGAAGATACTTGCAAGCTGTTGGATACTCAAGAAGTTGTAGAGAAGGAAAAGGAGATAGCTCTTAAAAGAATAGTGAGTCCATAGCAAACAGGGGTACGAGAGCCCATGACTGAAGAAACAAGACAAGATGAAGTGGAAGAAGCAGAACAATAGCTTGAACAAAAGCTAAGACGCTCCACTTGAGAGCAAAAGCCAAATCCTAAGTATGCTAAATATTGCTCTTATTGAAGCAAGTTCGGTAGCAGAATCGAAAAATTATGAGGAAGCTGCACAGAGTATTGAATGGAGAAAAGCAATGGAAGAGGAGATAAAGGCTTTAAGGCAAAATCAAACTTGGGAATTAGTACCCAAGCCAAATGATGTAAAGCTAGTATCTTGCAAATGGGTCTACAAAGTTAAGACTCGGCTAGATGGGAAGATAGAGAGATATAAGGCCAGGCTTGTTGCTCGAGGGTTCTCTCAATAGTATGGGATAGACTATGATGAAATTACAATCCGATGGCTAAGATTACAATTATTAGAGTACTGCTTGCTCTAGCTATAAGCAAATCATGGAAGCTGTGGTAGATGGATGTGAAGAATTCATTTTTGCATGGAGAAATTGATAGAGAAATTTATATGGAGCAACCATATGGATTTGAAGACAAAAGCCATCCAGAGTATGTCTACAAATTAAAGAAGGCATTGTATGGACTCAAGCAGGCACCGAGAGCATGGTATGGTAAAATTGCAGAATTTCTTATTCAAAGTGGCTATTCAATGACAGTTGTAGACTCAAGTCTATTTGTCAAAACTCAAGGAAACAAAATAGCAATTGTGCTTGTCTATGTGGATGATTTAATTGTCACCAGAGATGACATTGAAGAAACTTTTCAAACAAAAGGAGAATTTGTCAATACGGTTCTAGATGAAGGAGTTGGGAGAATTAAAGCACTTTCTTGGACTTAAAGTGGATCAGACAAAAGAAGGCATATTCTTGTGTCAACAAAAGTATGCATCAGACTTATTAAAGAAGTTTGGGATGCTTAAGTGCAAGCCAATCTCAACTCCAATGGAGATGAATGCCAGACTCTGCTCCTATAAAGAGAAGGACTTAACAGGTGCCACCATGTATCAGCAACTCATCGGGAGCTTAATTTATCTAACTTTATCAAGGCCAGATATATCATTTGCAATAGGAGTGGTGAGCAGATTTATGCAAGATCCTAAAAAGCCATACTTGGAAGCAGTACACCAGATTCTCAGGTATGTCAAAGGAACATTGGATTATGGCATATTATACAAGAGTGGCACAGAGTATACGGTGGTTGGCTATTGTGATGCTGATTATGCTAGATGTCATGATACAAGGAGATCCAGTATTGGTTATTTGTTTAATTTGGGATCTGGAACGGTTTCATGGTGCAACAAGAGACAACCTACTGTTTCCTTATCAACCACTGAAACAGAGTACAGAGTAGTAGCTGTGGCAGCCGAAGAAAGCACCTGGCTTATGCAATTAATGGAAGACTTGAAGCAACCAAGTGCTTATTCAGTAAAATTATATTGTGATAACCAATTAGCAATTTGACTAGCAGAAAATTCAATGTTTCATGCCAGGAAAAAACATGTTGAAGTTCATTACCATTTCATTAGAGAAAAGGTACTACAAGAGGAGATAGAAATGCAAGCTACAAAAACAGATGAGCAGGCTATAGATATATTCACAAAAGGGCTCAACGCTAGAAAGCTTGAAAAGTTTTGCAAGTAGCTCGGGATGATGTAGAGAACCAAGGTCGGTGTTGAGGGGGAGTGTTAAAATATTCATCATTAACTTGGGATCTAAAAGGTGATGACATAAAAGTTTTCCAGAAGCAATTTTTTTTATTGTAAAGTAAATTGAAGCCACACAAGAATATATGATGGAGAGAAAGCCACGTTTGTTGTATCTAGATTTTACTTGGGTGGTAAATTAAATATTGCAAACAAAAAGAATACTCTAGAATATGGACAACCAGTGTACATCACTGACTTTTGTAAGTGTAAAAAGAAGAATGAAAGTAGAAGACAACTTTTGTGTGTTAGTTTAATAGAAAAAGAGTTCTGTTGTTTCCTTTCTTTCTCAACAAAGTAAAGAACCTATTGAGGGGGTTAAACCTTTTTTACACTAACAAGAAAAATTGTAGGGTCACTATAGGAACTATCTATTAACTAAATGAGTGTTAGACTAAAACATATTGAAGTGTTGATGTTGTTGCGAGGGGCAAGCCTATTGAACTTTATCTTGAAATCTTGTATTTATGGGTCTCCATAATTGAAACTGTTGTCAGAAATTTGACTAGATCATGATTTTCTCTAATTGCCCTATTATCATGCTTGACTAAATCAAAAAAATCTCAATGGCTTTGAATCCTTTCTTACAAAACATATTTTTGCTGTGTGTTATTTAGTTGTCATAAATGGTTGTTAGAAATTTCTAAAATTAGGTTTGTTAGAGAATCATTTCTGATTTTTCTCAACTAAATTAACTTATTCAACACTATATCAACAATCTCTTTGATTTTGTGGAACGATTAAACTCTTTCCTCCCATTTTTGTCACAAGAAAAAAATTCATTACACTAGAATTTTAATTTATTGTGGACTGTATCACACCAAATCATAATTATTAATCATTTTTGAATTCTCAATTTTGGAAGAAGCTATGGCCATTAAATTTCCATTAGGGATACGCAACATCTTTAAGAAAATTGTCAAATGTGGTATAAATAAATACTTTTATTCATTAAATTAAGTAAAATTACTAATAATTACTTTCAAACGTTGATAAGAAGATTAATTTCAAACTATAATAGTAGGTAAAGTTATTTCCCTCACCCCAAATATTTCCATTGTTAAAAAAAAAGTTTATTAAGCGAGGAAATTAATGAAAAAGAGACAAAAATACTTAAAGATGAAAATCAAAATTATAGCATAAAAAATAAAAAATAAAACATTTTAATACTTTAAATACTAAAATTTTTTATAAAATTATTTAAATACTTTTAATGTACCTTTTTTACATATTAATTTGTTAAAAATATTTTAATTTTCCATTATCATTTATCACATTTTCGGTGTCAAAACTCTTAATTTTTCCATCCTCCTTGCAGTACAAACTCTCAAATTGTCTATCTTCCTTGGAGTACAACCAAAAGGTTTTACTTTCTTTTTTTTCTGAAACGGACCAAAAGGTTTTACTTTTAAACATTCTCCATCGGCAACTTGGTTTGCCTAAATCTTAGATTCGTTGTCTTTTCAGATTCGTTCCCGAAGGAAAATCTAGATTTGTGGTTAACAAAATTACGATCATATCCTTGAATGAGATAAGCAGTCTCAACATTCACCGTAGGATCTTCGTCCAAGCCCACGTAGGGACTCCATCCAACGGCTATAAGGGGGTCAAATCTGTACACCGAATAAAAAAAGGAAAAAAATGGCAATCGGAACGTGGCTGGTGGGCCCGAGTGGGCCCTCTGTGACTTCGTCTCGCCTCTCCTGGCCTCTGGAGGTGCGGTCCACCTTACACAGTCTCTTTCCGCATTTCACAAGAGCATTCAGAAATCAAGAACGGAGACACAGATACAGGAAGAGAAATGGAGGAGACCAGAAGAGTTGGCGTCGCCGTCGATTTCTCCGATTCCAGTCGGAACGCATTGCGGTGGGCGGTGGACAACGTCGTCCGGAAAGGGGATTATCTCATTCTCGTTACGGTTCTCGGCCATGCGTTTTATGAAGGAGGCGAGATGCAGCTCTGGGAAGCCACTGGTTCACGTACCCTTCTCTCCCCCTTTTGTTTATCTACTTTCTGTTTGTTTCTCAGGAAAAGAAAAATGAATAATATTTGTTTTTTTTTTTTTTGTTTAATGGGAAATGAATGATATTTGTTTGTGGGTAATTAAGCTGAAATTAACTCATTTTTTGCATGATTTATGTGGGTAAAGAGAAAGGATCAAATGATGGGCTTCTTTTCCCTTAATCCCTCCCCACTCGTCTCAAGGTCAAACTCGAGATCTTCAACTTGGAGTGTGAATCTCTTAAGTACTTGAGACACCCCGACATAAATGATATTTGTCTGTGGATAACCAGAAATTAACTCATTTTTGGCATGATTTGTGTGGGTAGAGAGAAAAGGATCGAATCAGATGAAATAATTGTTTCGTGGAAGGAAAAAATTTGAAGGCATGAAGGATTCGTATGAGATAGTTTTGATGTTCTGTTTAAACAAGTACGATTTATCAAGACTCATGGAAGAATAAATTCGATTCTCAAAAAAATATTATGCCTTCATTTTTCTTCTGGGGTAATGGTTTTTTTTTTTTTTTTTGTTTGGTTAATCTTTTGCAGCTTTGATCCCACTTACGGACTTCTCTAATCCAAACATCATGAAGAAGTATGGAGTGAAGCCTGACCCTGAGACCCTGGATATTGTAAACACTGCTGCTGCGCAGAAAGAGGTAAACTTCTTGAAATCCAGGAAATGATATTTTTTTTTAATTGTGGTTGTAAGCTATAGTGATTGATGTTGTGAACTTGAGCAGATTGTGGTGGTGTTGAAGATTTATTGGGGTGATGCGCGTGAGAAGTTATGTGAGGCTATTGATAACATCCCTCTCAGCTGCATCTTTATAGGAAACCGAGGACTTGGCAAGCTTAAGAGGTAAGAATCTTCCTATCTTACATTTTAGTTTCATTGGAATTTCAAGCTTCTAAATGGTGGATCATTCATGTGTTTTCTTCTTCTTCTTCTTCTTTTTTTTTTCATTATTAACTTTGGGTATCTCAATGTGATTGTGGTATGTGTTCAATTTTCTAAAGTCAATTTGAGACCATGATCACCTAGACATTTTTTAATGTTACAAATTAGTTCTTGTTTGAAGGAAAGGCTTCTTTAAAACACTGGTGAAAAAGTTTTCTCTACCATTTCAATCAAGCTTGAACGTTTCATGGTTTTTGATTATAGTGAATAACCGTCACCTCTGTCAAAACTTGTCTTGCTCTTGTCCCCATCCTTCCTAGCTTTAGATCATAAGACGCCTAACTTAAAGTCTCATACTCAAACCATTTGGACTGCTAACAAACAAGAAAAATGTCAAACTTGAACATTGCCAATGTATTTTTATGCCTCAAATGATTAGTAGGTAATCTCTAGTTGGTTATAATATGACCTTTTGGGATTAAATTTGTGTTGAATCCATCTTTTGTTGGGTTTGTATTTATTTTTCCAGGGTTATAATGGGCAGCGTAAGCAACCATGTGGTGAATAATGGTACCTGCCCTGTTACTGTGGTGAAGAACTAGTTTCCTACATATTGATAAAACTGAGCAAGTTTCCTCCCTGTCCTATATTATATTAATAAGTTCCTTTGCTTAATATTGAGACTTAAGAGGAGTTGTATATGTTGGAGAAGTTTCTAGTTAATCTACATGTTGATGCAGTTATGTGTGTATTCCTTGGTTATCATGCAGTTTGCCTATGTGCATTGGTTTAGTAATAATATGAAAACAAGTTGTCAGCTGTTATTTGAAATGCTGATCAATGTTCATTATGCTGAAGTAACTTCTTTTTAAGGTATTTTATGTAACAATTTCAACCATTGTGGTCCATTTTAGAGAAAGAAGCAACTCATAAATGCTGAAGCTCAGGCATGAAAAATCTTCCAT